GTAAGGAGCCTAACAGTTTGATTTTATTTGGTTCCGTTTTTAAAAAAACGCTGATGTACCGAGGTTTTACCTCCAGTTTTTCCTTAACAAAACTTGCCGGTTGACTGGTTCGAATGTACAGAGGAAGGTGGAGGGCAACGATGGTAACAGCATCAAAGTTGAAACTGCTCTCAGTTACTCAAGCAAATTTGGCTTTCAAGCTCCGGTAGCAACGAAAGAACCATCTTTATCAAATGAGGATCTGAAACTTCGGCTGCAACTGGACGAGGGTCACGTTTAATGGGCAGTTGCCGACTGGCAATCAGTGGTCTTCATAGATAAGTCCTAATTTGATTTGAGGTGCAGTGACGGTAGGATTATTTGTTAGGAAGAAAGTTAGTGAGGGGTTTAGTCCTAACTGCACTTAAAGGATCGTAAAGTTTGGAGTTGGATTAGTTATGAACTGGGAAGCTATGAGCTGAAGTTAATTTTTTAGATGAAAGTTTGTCAACATTTTGTTTCACGTCCTCCTGCAGTATGCAGTGAAGACATATTCTGAGAACCAGAATCTGCAAGGAGATAAGGAATAGAGATAAATACGTGGTTTTCTCACTTAATAGTTCACAATTTTTTTGAACTCTGCTGATTCATTGAGCTAATTCTGGAACGAGATCACGGGGGAACCAGGCGAAGCGGATCGCTTCTAATTATGTCCCCAAAGTTGCAGGGTTTGCTGGGTTACTATTCAAAGTCCCTCTTTTTTGGGACTTGTAGTTAGCTCAACATCAATGAGACTTAATGGTTTTTGGTTTTTAGCACATTCCATTCTTCCCTCTGAGGTTGAGCTACATTTTTTAATTCTCTTTAGCGCTTAGATAGACGCAGTAAAAAAAACTTAAAATTATAAAAAGAAACAAGTGTTCAAACTTCTGGAAAGGGAACAGATTTTGTGTAGAATTTCTTCGCCCTATTGAGTGTCTCTATTTGATGACGACTTTTTGACGGATTTAGAGTCACAGGCCGAAAAGGAATTTGGAACCGAAAATAATACATTGCTTTTACAGTAATCCAGCACATTTTACAATGGCGAAACCGTCTTCGGCTGTTTCTGAAAGCTACGCGGAGCGGTTGTCATAATCTGGTATGTTTAAATTGTTAAAGGATTGTTCCAAAAAATTATATTACTTGTGAAAATATTTGCAAATTATTATCTTGCAAAGCTGTAAAACAGCTTTTATTCACTTCTTCTTGCCTTCTTCCTGCTGAAACTGTGCAGATAATACGTGTTTTGACTCGATGAGAAGCCTCAAAAACAAACTTTCTACTTTAGCTTATCAGATACGGGGTGCAAAACTACCTCAAAGTTTCCAGAAGATGGCCAATTTAAAAAGTACAGCATGTAATGTTAGACAGAGAATGTTGATTCGAGATCATGTTTGCATATAAAACTAAATTTTTGACATGTGAGCCACGAAGATGCCTTTGTAAGTTTAGAAACTTTTGCTTTGTTGACCTCCTAAACGCTGAAATTGGAATTCCTGTGTGCCACGCATTACTTGCCCAAAAAACTCGTTGCTCTTTGAAGTTTGTGTCACCTAAAGCATTTCTCGTGCCTCTTCTTTTCTGTTAATTAAGTGCATTTTTTTGTCTCGTAGTTGATCATAGCACGTGGGAAGCGGAGGTTGCTGGAATGAAGGCTACTCGTTACAGCTTTGCCATCTGGTAATTTGCAAGCAATTGAATGTTAAATATGACTTCTAAAACATGTCTAATTTTGCTAACGCACTCAGCTGCTTTAAGAAACAGCTAAAGATGGTTTTGCCACTGCAAAATGAGTGGGAGTACTGTAAAAACAGTGTATTATTTCCACTTTCATGTTCCTTTTCGACGCACAACTCTCAAATCAGTCAGAGTGGAACTAGCAGATATAGAGTGAAAAATTCCACATAAAGCATTTATTTTCAATTTAAAGATACATTCTATATTCTCTCATAGTTTTCATTCCATTGCACCTACCCATATACTGATCCATTTAAAACAGTGTAATTGTTTTTGAGACCAGAGAAATGAGAGAGTCAAAAAATAAAAAACTGTCTAATTCCTTTAGAGTTTGGTTCGGGAAGATAACCATTTTGAGCGAAATTATGTCGAACACTACAGTTTGAGCGTCAAACATCACAATTTGAACGGAAACAATTTGGCAAGAAAATTACTTTTCCAGTTGATTTTCCCGATTTTTAGATTTGGACGCAGATTTTACTAATTTGAAAAGTTTAAAGGTTTCTGAGACGTCCGTTTTGCTTTTGTCCTCTCCTGTTTGTCGTTACCGCCTACTGTTCTGCTGCTAACTCCTCACTCTTTAATTCTTCAACTTTCTTATCAAAAAGCAATTGGGCAATCAGCACACAGAGGCCGTCAGCTTATAAGGCAGTCCAATTGCCTTCCAAAAATCTTACCGTATATCTAAAAAACTTTTTTTGCTTACCATCTAATGCACCAGTGAAGAGCTTCTTTACATCCATATAATGATAATTGTCAAATTGTTAAGCGGTCTTCGCATCCATCTATTTGCTATATTCATTTAACATTTTTTGCCAAATTCACTGCCACTTCATTGTTTGTTTTTTTAGGAATTACGTCAGTTGCTTTCTCAACGACGAGAAATACCTCTTCAGGAAGTAGAATTGTGACGCATTTCAAAAAACCAAAGGCCCAATTATACAATGCTTTCGTCAAATTCTTTTACCAATTAATTGCGGCTTGCCTTCTGTTAATTTACTTCTTTTACCAGACTGGTATTCAAGCCGAAACTACAACAGAAATCTCTTTTGAAGATTGAGGAATGACACATTAATTGAGCAAATCAAACAAGTTATTCATAGTACCGACGGATGTTAAAACTGTTATCGACACACCAAGAAATAGAGTACTTCCATCCTTGCTGTTTAGAATCCGTTGGTCCCCAGTTATCATTATTACAGTTAATCACTGTCAATTTTTCCGTTTCTCGTCAGCATCGTTGTTGAGCACTAACAAAAGGCCAGTTTATAATCTAAGATTCGTTTTCCCTTTTTTACTGCCACAGTGAATTGCAAGTCTTTCGGTATTATCAGTACCGTCTTCACAGAAAGTAAAAGCTCAAAGATGATTTTCATTTCCAAAACGACAGGGACGTAATGTTCAACGAATTAGTCGCTATAACCAGTAAAGTTTAGTGAAATGCTTTCCAAAATTTAATTTACATGGAAGCCTTCCACAACCCATTCTCATAATACCTACAACTGCTTAACATGTTATCTTCCCTCAAAGTCGCTTGGCTGTTTCAACTACTAAAAAAACAAAATATGGAAAATTAGTAAGTAAGGACCAATAGAATCGTAAGCTAGAACGTATTAAAACAAGACTAATAACGCTCAAACTACAGAAATTAAAACCCTTACATAGAAAAAACTGCCATTGGCATATACTATAATATGTCGCTGTTAAATGCAGTGCAAACAATATAAGCAAAAAGCAATGACAACAACAAACTGTCTATTCACCCCAAGTTTTGACGCCTTCCAAATCAACTACCCACAGGTATTTTTTATCTATCATAAACATTATGAGCAATGAAGACGTTGGTAGTTACTGGTATGTTTCCGGCAGAAGTGATGATAACAAAATTCTACCTTCAATTAGGCCAAAAGTCTACAGACAAAATAATTATAAACTACGGTCGCTCGTACGGTAAAAATGAACGGTGATTAGCATGGGACACTAAAAAAATAAAACATACTCTCAGCTACAGTGATCTGCAAAGCTCAAATATCGGAAAAAAAAATTGCGAAGTTATTTCAGTTTGATGTAGCAGTTTGCTGATTGGCTATTTACATAACGAAGTTTTTCTTTTGGGAGCTTGTCAAATATCAGGAAACCTGCAGACCTTTCTATGGCTTCTGGAGCCATGAAAAATGCACTCAAAGGAGTTGAGTCAGGAATGACCTAGAAAGAGGCACTATACTAGACTAGAGTGAGAACAGTTGTGAAGAAAGTTAACAGGACTGCATTAATAAGTCAAGAATTACAGTACTATTAGCTCCAAAAACATAAGGAAACCTTACCTCATTTGGTAGCACGTAGGCTTCTAAATCAAACTTCCCAGGCGAGAACTCGATCAACGCAACCTCAAATATAAGTATTTTTGTATAACAAGCTTCTTCCATAAAGCAGTTTCACTGACAAATAAAAATTATTTTTCACTTTTTTTTCACTATAAATGCATATTTGAGTATTTCTCTGGAAATGCAAACAAGATGAAATATATTTTTAAGCCAAAAAAATTCCACCTTGAAGAAGTGAGTAGGTACAGCAACTTTATTTTTACCAATAACTCTGTATTTAACATACAAGTTCCCATCCTTTTCCATCCGAGGTAAATACAGAGGACCGGAGCAAACATAAACATTCTCACTTTTTCGCGCAAGCTTCCTAAAAAGTATTTTGAAGCATTGCTGAGTTTGAAATATAATTTTTGTACAGTCCTTAATCTGTCCCAAAAATCTCTGCTAAAAACTCAAACTCTTATTAAGATTATCAGCGTTAAGGCTGCGTCAACCTGATACGTTTTTCCAACTCATTCCACTTGTCCCTGTTGAACCCTTTACCAACTTGTGGAGATATGTTGCTAAGCAAGAAGGTTTGGTTGACTGCGTTTTGCGTTCTGCGATGATTGCCAGCAGCCGCCAAATGGCCCCGATCAAAACCGGAATTCTGTAATGTGATTGGTTAGCCTAAGTATTAATTAGCAGCTTTTCTTTTATTGCTCTGCTTCGATAATTACCCAAAACAATGTGCTAACACTTACTGGTAAAATCCCTTCATTTTAGGATGGTTAATGAATAAATCCTTTTCCCTATGATGACACCTACTCAAAAATATATAAACTCAAGCACTTCTGTATCACCCCTTTCATTAAGATAGAAAGTCCTCATCCCACCCTCAAAAATGAATGATCACGTGGAAACAGCATGTAGTAAAATAAGCAAATATAAAACAACTGCCAGGTAATCTTCATTAGTTGAACGAAAATACGGGTGCATTGATTTGTCTTCGATGAAGACACATTTGGAACGGTCCACCGATGGATCGTAAACCATTCTTGCCGGCGTTAGATGCTCAACCACCCAAGATGCCGCTCTAAATACAATCTTTTTAACATAAACCATTGCCAGCCGACTGTGATAAACTATGTAAAAAAAACCTGCAGGTCTTTTCTGTCAAATGGCATTACTTTTCTTTTTCGTCGACCCCTCATATTTTTCTCAAACTTCTCCTGTTTCAAGGATTTGATATTCAATTATGAAATCAAAAAAAAGTAACTCAAAAAATGTTGTTGGCAACGCTTGACCGCTTTCAAATGCGGGAGAAAACGGATTTTGTTAAGCACAGTCATATTTGGAAAGTCAGAGTTTTGCTCATTTACAGTAAGTTTCTGTGACTTCCAATCCCTTTAAAGGTCTCTCTTCTGCAGACTTGAAAAAGTGGTGGAATACATATATTAATAGATTACACGTGAAGAAGAAATAAAAATGGAAACTGAAAACGTTCTTTTTTAAAAACATATGTGATTAGAAGTTTTTTGTTGCTGAGTTTTTTAAACAAAATTTTCCAGACTAAAATCATGATCAAGGTTACTTTTTGATCTGCATCGCTGCATTTCTTGCATTTCTTCCTCAATAAACTTCTATGTAAAACTCAGTATTGGCTATTGGTGGCGAATCTTGTTTTGCTGTTATCCTCCCAGCAGTGTGTGATATAATGAGACGAAATTTTCTGTGCCTGCAGTAGATAAGTTTATACGAAAATGGAGTGCTGGAAAAGGTTCTTCTGATCCAAACGTCTCTGAAACAAAAAAAACTACTAATACTTTTGCCAGATACTTCAGCGTTTAGTTTCAAAAGTCGTTGGCAGCTAAGATTTAGCATGGAGTTATCTTTTCTAAGCAAGCTTTCGCTGAAGGCTTTTCACACTGTCTCCTATCCACCAAAAAGACCTGTTTAATGAAAAGTTACGGAGTTTTTTTTAAGTGTTATTTTAATGCGAACCCATAGTCTAGAGATTCAAAAACAAGATTCAAAAAGTTCCTCCGACTTCAACACTGTTATACTGTACCTCCGAAAAGACATAAACTCCTTAAATTCCATCTCCCCCTCCAGAAAATTGTAAAAATGGTGTCGTAATAAGTGCACAGTTACCGTGTCATAAGCGACGCACTCTGATATTGGTGGAGGCTACAAAAGTAATGAGTCGAGGAAGCCTTTTTTAGAAAAAACACAGTGCAAAAGACTGCACTAAAGCTTACAATTTTGTCCAGTGGCATCCTGAACGACCTTGTAATTTACTATCGCCAATTCTCCAACAAAGTCCCAAACGAATGCACTGCTGAAAAGACATCAGCAAAACAATATTTGCTTTCAACAGTAAACAGTGAGTTCCAGTTATTCAGTTCCAAAAAATTCTGTGATTAAGCAAAACGAGACGTACCACAAAAGTAATCAAAACGACAATTTCCTTCGAAAGATTTTATTCAAAATATCTAGCAGCAAAAATTTTTAATTTCTTTACCAAACACTGAAACAAGTAACATTTTAATGAAAAAACACTAGTTAAAACTACAAATTTTTCTTTTGCGGAGCCTGAAAAATGCTGCGTAGACTGAAGAGTTTTTCCAACCTAATCTTACTGACCACACCGTAACTCCTAATGCCATGAAAGTACCACCTTATAATTCCAATATTTTACACAAGAGCTACGCCTCCTAAAAATACGTCCTTCCCAAAAAAAACTAGAAATGCAAATTTTTCAGGAAAACCGTTCAAAATTTTTATTTTGGTTCAATCTGGTACGGAATTTATTAGTACATGCATTTTATCACTTTTCAAATTTGCGAGAGACTTACCTTCAAAAAGAGTAAAAATTACAAGAACTGTTCATGAGTGAACAGAAATGCAAGTTCTTAAATACTGTCTTGCTTAACAAAAACTGCGCTACCTTCACAATTTAGAACGATCTAACGTCGTTGCCAGCTCTATTTTTGAGCTATAATATTGATTTAACAACCGGGTATCAAGCCTTACAAGTAGGTAGAGAAAGAAAAAAATGTTAGAGTTCGGGCAGAAAAGAACGTGTTGTTTAACGCGGAAGTGCTCATAAATAAATAAATAAATAAATA